ACGTGGCTTCTCTAGACAGAAAGAAAACCCAGTCTGTCCCAAGGCCACTTTGGCCAGGCACCTTTCAGACATTCTAACCCTCTCTGTTCAGGGAGAGAGACAGACACTTCCACTCTGTCTACTGAAGCTACAGGTAGAGGTCTCCATAGAGTGAACTGGAAGAACGATACACGAGGGCAAGAGAGATGTGGAGGGCTTCTAGCACAAGCTATATCTATGGAGCGATAAACACGATCCACCCATGGGTCTGGATGCATGGAGACATGGAGATACAGATATATTTGTGCATATGTGAATGTGGTTAGAGATAGAGGTATATTTGGATAGAAGTGGCCAAGATAGGAATTCTTTGGTCCCTTCCCCCTTGAAACACAGACGTGTTGGACATGGAGTGGATGGGTCTGAAATGACCAAATTCACAATCTCTCCTCTCTGAGGGTGTGGCAAATAGGTAGGGGCAGAATAAAACCCCAAGGAAAAAAAGGTGCCAATGCCCACATTTTCTTGCAAATGTTTTGACCCATGATCCTTTGTGGAGGTTCAGTGCCCATACTGAGTTGCATAGGCATGATGCTCTAACAGTGTTGGCATCGGTGTGTGTCCACTTGTGAGAGAAAGTGAGATAAAGCGGTAGAGATAGACACAGAGAGACAGAGATCCGAAGAAATAGAGACAAGGAGAGGTGGGGGAGGCAAAGAGCAGGGAAGGGAGGTAAATCCATTGCCAGCATAGTAGGATGAAACTTAGGTATGAATTTTGCCACTGCTGAGAACAATGGGGACAAATACAATGTGCATGGACTGTCTGCCACTTCGGTTCAACCTACATCCCTTGGAGTAATGCTTGCCAATCAGGCACTGTCAACCAGGCAAAGCTTGATGACTGCCAGGAAGTGTGAGTGCTACCCCATGAGGTTGTCTGTGCCCAAAGCTGTGAACTGGACTAGGGTATACCAACGGTTTCCACAGCCAATCCCAGTGCCAGGGAGCATCTCACATCTCTGAAGATTGGCAGGCATGAGAGAACAGGATGGAAATGGAAAAAATCACAACCAAGAGATCACATTGGGGAGGCAAAAATAGGTTTATTGGACCAATGGATTGTCCCTTCAAGCTTGTAATTCCAGTATGGATTTCCTCCAAGTTAGCCCTTGCAATGGAGAGAGGTGACCCAGCTGACAGAAGGGCACCAATAGGCTGACTGGGAACATCTTCTTTCTTCCTGGGAAGTGAAGGAACACTGTGGGTAGAGAGGCATGCCAATACATACCAACAAAATAGAAAACAAATCCTAAGGTTGAGGAGTGAGTCAAGTGGTACCCTTTCTGGAATGCCTGCTGAGAGTGGCTGTGACCCTTCATGCTGCCATTTTATGTTCTTTCGAAAGGCTTCCCCAGGGCAAAGATGCGGGGCAAAGTCCCCGGGCATTCCAGAATTTGGCTGGGACAGGATCACTGAGAGATTGGAGACTGCAGTCATTTGCTGTTTCGCTGGTTCCCAGCCTATTCCAGCAAGGATGGATTTGTGACCCTGGGCTCCCATGGTCAAGTTGTGTAGTGTCCTGTCTTCATCCACACGTTCAGCTCCTGGAGACGGGACTTTCTGATTGGGCAGGAGGAAAAGGCATGTGGAGGTGTCTTTCTTCGACCTCTCCTCCTTGCTTGGTTTGGCTGCCAGGGCCAGAGTTTCCCAGTCTACAGGGGAAAGGGTGATGGCAGGGAGGAGGTCATGTGTGTGTCCCGACAGTGCTTTGAATCAATCAGGTGTCGGGGAGGGTGCCCATTGCCCGGTGCCCATGGTGCCTTCAGAGGCTTTGTGGAGCTTGGTGCTCATCGGGAAGGCAATGGAGGCCTGCCCACAGGGCAGAAAGGACATCCTTCTTCTTTCTTTCCAAGCAATGGATACTGCTTTGGGCGTCGGTCTTCCTCTGGAACATGCACAATGCTGCCTATTCCTCCTCCTTGCTGACCCGCTGGGACTGCATCTCAGGAAAGATCTGAATGAGTGTGGGGTGGGGAGGACGAGGCCTACTTGCTCTTAGGCATGAGGCCATGTTGAGTCATGCAGCATGGCCAGCAGGGCGTGAAACTCCTCCTCGCTGAGGGGTGTTCCAGGGGTCCCGGAGCGTCCTCTAGTGGCAAATGCCCACTGAGAAAAGGGTGTGGGTCTTCTTCCATCTCTGCACCTGAGAAAAGTTCCTCTAAAATCTTGAGGCTTCTTCAGATGGTTGGTGCTGTGGGTTGAGCACAGCAGACAGCCCTGCAGTAGGATGTGCCTGCTGCTGCCAGCCAGGGGTCTCAGCATGTGCAGGCTGAAGAACTGCCCCATCCTGAGCCTGTCCTGTGCCTATGACAAGCTGGGACTCCTCGCCCCAGCACTCTGTAGCGCAGTTGCTCCCAGGGTGCCCTGCCTCCTTCAAGCCTTGGCAAGGATTGTCAGCTAGGGGCTGAGGGTAGTCCTGGAAGGGCAGGGGCACCATGCCAGGGTGCTCATGTTGATGCTGGTATTCCCCTTGGGATGGGGGGCAAAGAAGAGCATGTCGAACAAAGAGACACCCTCCTAGAGTCGGTCCCGTCAAGGAACGGCTCCTCAGGCCTTCAGCAGGAGGAAAGTTGTTTCCTCCCTGCCCACCTTGGGTGGGCGGTACCATCGTGGCCCCCAGGGCCTGGCTCCCAGGGCCCCCACAGAAAACTGGAGGGGCAAAGCCCATGCAGGGAATGGGAGTTGTCCCTGCAGCAATAGCCTGCATGCTTCCCATAGGATTGGACAGGACCAGTGGAGGAGAGCTTACAAGGACACCGGCCAGTGGCCCTTTTTCCCTTGGGGTTGTCACACGTGGACTGGGTTTGGAGTGTGCTTCCAGGTCCTTCACGGGGTCACTTCTGCCCTGCCCTGGGTGTGGAGCTCTTCTGTTTTGGAACCAGACCTGGGAGAGAGACGAGATATCGTGGACATGAGACGAAGGGTTAGATGTCAGCTCTCTTTCCCCCCTACCCCCACCTGGGATCTCTCGCGGAGAAGACCAGGACTTTTGGTCTGAATCTCAGGGGAACTCTCTCCATAACATTCACCTGGCCCTTGGAAATCAGGAGAACACCCAGGGAAACTGTGGACACCTGGCCTGGAGTCCGTCCCCCTTTGATAGACTTGAATGACAGGCGCTCAGTTCTGCTCTGCCTGCTGTTCAGTCCCTACTTTGCTTTCTCTCTGATTCCTAACTGCAGCTTTCTGACCAGCCATTCCAGGAGTCCTGGGACAAGGACAGCTGACTGCCTGCCCCTCCTTCCCCAGGCTACTCCAAGTCCCCCGAATGCCTCAGGGCATCCCTCAACACCTTTCCCTGCCCCGGGGTCTGATTGGGTGTAATCCAAATGGCAAAACACCGACGCTGGCTTGCAGGCCTTCAACCCATGCCTCCTGGCCTCGCATCCATATGATTGGTAAGTCTACAAGCACAACTCTAATGGGTGTAGAGGAAGGCATGGGCAGCCAGGAATCCACATCAACAACACTCACATTCAGATTTGGCTTTCCCTCTCCTCCGTTTGCTACATGGGAAGAAGAGTTCTCAGGATCGAGCACGTTGAGCTTCCCCTCTGTCCAGGGACAAGACTTGTCAGAGCACTGGCCCATGAAGGCCTGCTTGAAGCAGGGTCACTGGCTCTTGTCCCAAAGGAGAGGCTTCCAGGGAGTCTGCCTTCATATACCATAAGGGCGTTTCACAACTCCTATACCAGGAACCACTCTCTGCAGAGCCTTCTCAACCAGGGCACATGGGACCTCTCACCCACCTGCCAATAATCCTTGGGACAATTATCCTGGCTGAGTAGGTTATGCAGACAAGGTGTGGTTTGTGGGTAGAATCCATTCTTGCCCTGGGGTCCTGAGGCCCAGGACACTGACAAATACATTGCCACACACAAAACAGCCACCCCATTCACACTCACAGAATCCAGAGGGCCACATGGAGAGTGCTACTATGCTGCTCAAGAGCTGAGAGTTTGTGTGATCTCTAGATAGGTGCCAATGTTTCCGTTTCCCCTCTTTTGTATGCTCAACATTTCTACACGCATGTACGCTGCCAACTGCCCCCCCCAAACGCACACACCATTTGTTTTGGAAATTCGTCCTTGGGCAGTCTCTCACTTGAAAGGTCACCACACTCCCCCCATTGCCTGGGGATTGGATCCTGTGGATAACTCAAAGGAGCCCACGATTCCCCAGCAATGTCTCAGCCAACACTATCCCTTCCACGTTGAACAACTCACGGGCCACACTCTGAAAATGTACCTGAATGAGGGATTCCTGAAGACCTGTGTGTCTGGCCAGGTATTCCCTGGTAGCAATGCTTGGAAAGAGGTTCTTCTCAAAGGCTTGAAGGAGGATACTGGTTTGGGATGGAGAAATGGATGTCCGTTTTCTCTTGCTTTCCTTTGGGAAATGTTCTAAAAAGAGAATAGTGTTACAAAGGAGGGCTTTGAAGCCACTGGCACATGCAGGGTAGAAAGAGAAATTGGTGGCCGTGTGCACGAATGTGTGCATGTGCGTGTGTGTGTGCGTGTGTGTTCTCTCATGCTTCTCCATTTTCTCTATAGCCTCTCCTTCCCTGAGTCCACTGAGGTCAGCATGGACCCACCCACCCAAGCCAGTGCTTGGATCTAAATCTGAGGTGACCCCAGAAGAGGACTCTGTCCTTCCTACAGTTTCAGGACAAGAAGATTCAAAGCCCTTCTTGCCCAGAAACAATGCACCCGCCCAACAGGCGGTGCATGCACAGTGTCCATCTCTGGGAACAGAAAGGCGGCTGGAAGCAGTGGGCATGGGTTCCTCTGCTAAGCCTTCTTGCCAAACACATGGCAAGTCCATGCGTACCCATTCCTGTGTCAAGGAGAAGCTCAAGAAGAGACCCGTTTTATATGCTGGGGAGTTACCTTGAGTCCAAGCTGGAGGCTGTTCCTGTCCATGTGGTGGCCCTTCCCCTTGGGATTTGGCAGACCCCATTCAGCTCTGCCTTAGCTGTCTCATGCACTGGTTCTGGAACCACACCTAAATGGTAAAAGAAGAACGGATGGTTAGGCAACACTGGTGGACATGATCTATATATATATATGTTTTGTTTTCTTTTTCTCATACCTAGGTTCTCAGAGGGTTTTGTGTGAACCATGCGATAACTCTGGACAAATGATCTCTAGGGAAATTCAGCGAAGATGTGTTGACCTGTTGGAATATCCCAGGCCTGGTGCACCAGAAGTACCTGGGTTCCACAAGTGAATGACTTGGAATGACTTCAAAGGGCATGAGCTCAACAGAGATGCACATATACGGGACAAAGCTTTTTACTCCCCAGCTGAGCATGTAGATTGACATGCAGTGGCTTGGGCCTGATCTTGTCCACGGCTTGTCCCCCAGGGAAAATGCAAGTGAAGCTGAAACCTACCTGGATCCTGGATTCTGGAATGTCTAGTTCTCGGGCCAGTCGTCCTCTGGTGGCGATGCCTGGGTATGGGTTCAGTTGGAACAATGCATGTAGAACCCCTTGTTGCGTCGGCTTCAAAACAAGCCACCTCCCTCGGGATCTGCATGGGAGGGGGCGTGTTGCAGGGAAAATGACAACCGTATTAGGAAGGCTTTCATAGGAATGCAAACTGGTGGTGCAGTCTCAGCTCTTCAATTTCTGTGCTGTGGACACCTTCCCCGGCCGGGGCTTCCTGCGCCTTTGCCACTCATGGATCCAACTAAGGGTCTGCTCAATAGGACAGGCAGTCCACCATCTGCCTATGGGAATGGGTGATAGGCAATGATCTAAGGAAATACCAACTACTATCAAACAATGAGATGGCATGCCAATGAACTGAGGAAACCCGCGGTGGGGGGGAAGAGGTGGAAGCACCTTAGGAGAAACAAAGATGAACCCACTCCTCCTAAAAAACATCAAGTTCAACTCTGACAACACATCCGAAGTGCTGGTCCATGAGGTGAAAGTTCTCTTTTTGTAAAGGACACCTGAAATAGGTGTTAATATTTTCCTGTTCTCTTCCACCTGAGATCTAGCTTGCCTATTTGCAAAGAGGGACTCTTGTTGGGAATCCTGGCCACCAACTTCAGTTTTCATTCTGATGGCAGCCATATGCAAAACTCTCTCTATCTCTTTCCCCCAATCCTCCCTGGATCACAATCCCCCCAGCATGTATGCCGGCAATCGAGGTGGTCTCTCCTACTTTCCCGAGCCCTGGAAAATTATCAGGGACTTTGGGAAATACAAGCAGGGAGCAGGGCTTTGGATGGAAACTTACTCCTTGATGTGCTGGTGGGAGCCATGCCGATGGAGTCACTTGGGTTCCAGAGCACTGGCCGGCCGACTGGGCAGGACCCGGACCATGGGACTTATCAATGCCTGGGATTGCCCACCCCTGGATGTCCCACCCCATCATTTCAACAGCTTCCTTTGGTAACCCTGACTTCAGTTTTCAGACCTTTGGCAGAAGCAGTCTTCACAAGGACATTGGGACCACTTGAGGCAAGTGCTTGCCCTGGGCAGGTAGACGTGCCCCCCCTCCGCTGGATGCAATGTGCCTTTTCCACTCCCACTAGCTTTTCTCCAGGATTACAGCCTTGACATCGAATCGTGGTGTTGAGACTCTGGGACTCTGTGTAGGACCAGACTGGGTTAAGGCCGTTCGATAATCACTTCAGATTCTGGCATGTGCGTGTAGAACTCGAATCACCTTTGGCCACCCAAGACGAGCCTCCTAATTAAGTTCCCTTGTATTGCATTACATTGTTTTCTATCTTTCTTTTTTTTTTTTAAAGATTTTATTTATTTTTTTGACAGAAAGAGACACAACGAGAGAGGGAACACAAGCAAGGGGAGTGGGAGAAGGAGAAGCAGGCTTCCTGTGGAGCGGGGAGCCTGATGTGGGGCTTGAACCCAGGACCCTGGGATCATGACCTGAGCCAAAGGCAGACGCTTAACGACTGAGCCACCCAGGCGCCCCCTATCTTTCTTTTCTTTGTTTACATTTATTTTTTATGTATTGGAACTTTCGTCATTTTTCTTTTGAATGTTTTTGTTTTTCCCCTGCATTTTTCTATTTATTTTTTTGGTATTACTTTTTTTTTTTAATATTGATTTTGTCAATGCCCTGGTATTTTCAACCTTCGCCCTACCAATCAGGACTGGTTAGCCACATAGTTTGGTGTCTATATGCCCTCCCCATCTGGGGAACCTGATTCTCATGACATCATGGCAGCTCCCAGGCAGCTTGTGAAGCTACAGGTGTGGAGCCAGGCAGGACACTGAAATCAGTCAGGTTAGATGGGTGGCACGTGAGAGGGAAATTGCAGAGTTGGCCATCACCATGTATATGGGGTGGTTTGGTCAACACTATTAGTTGCTTGTGGGTTTGCACGTGAGTGTGTGTGGCAAACCACCTCCTCCAAATCAGAGGCTTTGAACCCTTTCCTCCCAGCCTCACATCCAGCTGGTTCCTCTACTGGCACATCTCTTATGGGCCATTAAGACAGCTTGCAATCTAGAAGTTCCTTATCAACACCAGCATTTGGATTTGACTCTCTCTCCCTTTGTGGCCGGAAGAAAAGTTTAACTCTCATTGGCACCTTCAGTTTCCTCTCTTTATGTGTATAAGAGATGTCAGATGGGGGGGGGCGGAGCAAGATGGCAGAGGAATAGGAGACCTGGATTTCTTCTGGTCCCAAGAATTCAGCTGGATAGGGATCAGACCATTCTGAACACCGGCAAACTTAACAGGAGATCAAAGAAACGAATAGCCACAACTCTCTGATCAGAAAAGCAAACATTTTCTGGAAGGGAGGACGTGCGGAGAAGTGAATCTGAGGCAATATTCGGGAGGATAGACGGCGGGGGAGGGGGCCTTCGTCAGCTGCTTCTGGCAAGTGATAGAGCTGCAGAGCACAAAATTGGAAAATTTAGAAGACGGCTCCGCTGAGGGACATCACTCCAGTGGCTAAGCGGGAGTGGAACCCTCGTGGGACAGTGTGGTCTCAGGACCCTCGGGGTCACAGAAAGACCGGGGGTGCCTGAGTGCGGCAGAGCTCCCAGGTAACGAGCAGGGAAGCCGGCTGACGAGACAGAGCCGAGGCGCGAGCTCTCAGCTCGGGGTTGCCATAAACTGATCGGTGACACAGGCGGGTCACTGCTCCTCCAACAGGGACCCAACATGTGGCAGATCTGGGGAGACTCCCCTTCCTCCCCCGGGAGGAGCGGCGTGGGAGCGCATCACAGGAATCTGCTGGGATTGGAGACTCCACACCAAGTCAGGTGTCAGAGATAGAAATGCTCGGTCACAGGCCGGGTGAGCATGGAGTACAGCCGGAGACCAGGGAGGCGGGAGTGAATGACTGCTTTTCTCTGGGGGTGCACTGAGGAGTGGGGTCCCTGAGTTCTCGTGTCCTCTGTGGCAGAGATTGGGAGGCCACCATTTTCACTCTCCTCCTCCAAAGGTGAACGCAAAGCTTGCAGGGAACAAAAACTATTGAGAACAAAGCAGAGCAGATTACTTAGCCTGGACCTGCAAGGGCGGGGCAATTCCCTCTCCGGCAAAGACATTTGGGAACCACGGCAACAGGCCCCTCCCCCAGAAGATCAGCAACAACAGCCAGCCAAGACCAAGTTTACCGATCAATGAGAACAGCAGAACTCCAGTGCTAGGGGAATACTGCACATAGAATTCAAGGCTTTTT